CTTGGCGTGAAAAAATCTTTTTTACACGACCATCTAACCGAAGAAGTTTATATGTGGCAGCCTCGCTAGTTTATTCATTCTCAGTTTCCTCATCACATGTGTCGCTTGCACAAGGCTATTTATGGCCTTAAACAGGCACCGCAAGCATGGTTTGATCGGTTTAGTAGTTTTCTACTTCAGCATCATTTTTCTTGCAGCAAATCTGATCACTCTTTATTCATTTATCACCATAATATTCTATCATTTATTTATATTTATATGTAGATGATATTATTATCACTGGTAACTCTATGACTGTTGTTAATCATTTTGTTTCCCTTATTTCTCACCACTTTGCCATGAAGGATCTGTGTAATTTGCATTATTTTTTGGGCATAGAGGCTACTCGAATCTCTAAAGGTTTATTTCTTACTCAACAAAAATACGTCTCGGGTGTGCTTGCTTGCTTTCATTTACACATGGTCAAGTCAGACCATAAACCATTAGCGTCACGCACCACTTTGACCCTCACTAATGATGAGTTAGTGTGTGACTCCACAGAGTATCGCAACATGGTATGCGTGTTGCAATATTTAACTTTGACATGACTTGATATTACTTTTGCAGTACATTTAGTGTCTTAATTTATGCATGCGCCCCGTACTACTCATCTTCTTGCAGTCAAGAGAGTTTTCAGGTACATACTTACGGGGCACTTGTGATCATGGCTTGTGGCTTCAAGCTTCACTACTGGTTTTGCAGTTTTCTTGAGTCCTAATTTGGTGTCGTGAAAGTCCAAAAAGTGGCATAATGTGTCGAAGTCCTCCACTGAGGCCGAGTATCGAGCTATCGCATATACGGTTCAAGACACGTTGCATATTCAGTCTACGTTGTTTGAGCTTGGTTTTCCTATCACGGTACATGTGAATTTATTATGTGATAATATTTTTGTGTCATACTTGATTATGAATCCTGTTCAACATACTTAGAGTAAGCATATCCGGATTGACTATCATTTTGTTAGAGAACGTGTTGCTCATGGTGATTTATTGGTCCAATATGTTCCCACTCACTTACACCTAGCAAATATTTTTACTAAGAGTCTTTCTAGTCAACGTTTTCATTTTTTGAAAGACAACCTGCGCGTTGTATCTTCCGTTCAGCTTGAGGGGGTGTAATAGACTAGGGCTATTTATGTATTTTTACATTATACTCTTTTATTATAAATACATTTGTCATGGCTGTTGGAAAAATGTGTTAAAAATTACATTAAATGGTCATTTTGGGGCAATATTTTGAGTGGGATCCACTTCCGATTTGAGTCGGGTCAAAGTGATTTCGGATTGTCCTTGTTAAGGGCTACAATTCGATATATGGTACACTCAAAACGGATAACGGGTGAATGAGAAATTGATTCTCGAAGTTCACTAGTTAAAATGGAAAAAACTGGGAAAATGATGGGTTTCTAGTGGGATTTATCCCACATCGGAAAACGCAAGGGATTTTCAGCCCCTTATAAAGGGAACCCTGTTTGAAGAAGTTAAGATTCCTACAGGGAAAGGCTCTCTTCGCAAGCAGGGGGTGCCGATCAAATCCAAAAACGGGGAAGAAAAACTGCGACTTGCGTGCGCGGACGACCTGCGGGCACGAATGTCGTCCGAAAATCTATCTCCTAAATATAAGATTTAGATTTTGTTTCTTCCCGTAACGTTCCTTAATTTTTAGGGGGAATCTGTTTTGTTCAACAGAAACGTCTCCACTTCTGTCCGGACCAAAGGGGTTCTGTCCTCAACAGAAACGCTCCGCTTCTGTCCGGGCCAGAAGAGGTTCTTTGTTCTCACCAGAAACGCTCGCCCCGCTTCTGTTCGAACCACAACACGTCCGGTCGCACCTGAACTTCTCTAAGGTGTTACAGCCTTTAAATTCCCAACGTTCTTGTCTTTTAATGCTTCCTTAAATGGACAGTTTTTTTGACGTATTAATGCCCAACGTGCTGGACATTTATGTGCAACGTTCAGGTTCATTGCTAAATACACAATTAGCACGTCATTTTGAGCTCTAAAACACCTCCAGCTTTCCAGAAAAATTCATGAGTGTTCTGCCTTTGTTCCCGTTCACCGGAACTTTCATTTGTGTGCTCAAACGTTAGTTCGTTAGCCACCGTATCCTGGGAAACGGTCGTTGCAACGCTCATAGCACTGTGGGAGGCGATGAATACGTTTTAAGAACATCGTGCGTAGCACGAGCTCTGGTTGATTTCTATCCCATCTATTTTCTCTTTTCTTTAGTCATTTAATTAATTAGTGTTTTCTTTGTAACATTCAGCGGAAGTCTTGACCTCATTAGTGTGACTTTATAGTAACAAAGCTTATGATCCTCTAGTTTGGTGGGAGATGGGTTGAATAGAGTTCAGATGTGTTTAGCTAAAATCAGTTACCTTAAGGAGCATGCTGCCGAACCTCAAGGAGCAGTCTGCCGAACAAGATTATTGCTCCAGTGTTAGAAACATAGGAAAGAACTATGATCTAAAACTTTTGTAGATCTTTTTTAAAAAGACTAAACACATAGATATGAAGGAGTTTGACCTTTAGATTTCTTTTCAATACAAGAGTAAGGAACAAGGAGATTCAGATGGAGTAAACTGGATAGTTTACTAATTAGTATTTGAGGAAGTTGTTTAAGTTGACTGCAAAGATGTGAAGGTGAGTGAGAACTATTGTGTATTGTGAGAACTGAATATAAAAGGTGACACAAGATATATCCTGGTTCGGAGGTGGTGTAATCCTCTTACATCCAGTTCCACCCTCTTTCAGATGGATTTCCACTAAATGAATATACCCATTACATTTAGTGCACAACCTATCCATGGTCGCAGGCATAGATTGTGAGGGTTTTCACAAGAAATTGGAACATCATTCCAAGCTACTCAGTCCTCCAAGGTTTTTCACTAATGGCATTGACAAACCAAACGTTACCCATATCTTTGTCTTTCACTTACCTTATGGATTTGATCACAAAGCCCTCCAGAGTTTACAAACTAGTCTAGTTTACAGGAGTAAAGCTAAACTACCAACTAATGAAGCTCTAAAGATGTATATGTATTTAAACTATTCTAAGAGCTTAATTAGGAGAGTGGGGTGAGAACTAAGAGGATGAAGGAAGTCACCACTTTCTTTTGCTGGATATGTCGTTTGATCTTATCATTCTCCATAGCTCCGCACTCTTTAGTTCGCATGAACTCCTTCTGTATTTAAAGACTGAGTTGTTGAAGGTCTTCCGTTAGCTGAAGAGATTCAATCTTGACTGTTGCTTTAATCCACTTGATTTATCTACTTGACTGAAAGGCAGCATGATTGGCTTTTGTCTTCTTATGGCACGGATTGTATCTTTATCTCAACTTGTGTTGCTCATTTTAAAGCATGTAACAAAGATAAGATTTTAATCTTTGTTCGTAGAATAATAGAGCAAGCTGATTTTCGGATTCGTTCAATGCTTCCTTAGAATATAAATCTCTTGCTTTAAGTAAAAATAATGTTATAAGAAATTTTTCATGATGTTCTGAAAATTTCTTATAAAATTATTTCCTGACTTTGTCTTTTGTTTTGACTGTGAGTTGATCTTTTGATTTCGAAAGTCGGCAGATTTAGCCTTCAATGTAAAATTTGTCATTCGTATGCTCTTAAATCTTCCAACAAAGTAAGCAGATTTGTCTTGAAAGAAACACAAAACTGCCATGAATTTGGCAAACATACAAACTCAACCAACAACCAAATATTCGAAAAATAATTTTTTAAGGGAATAAACACTTTAACACATTCTAAAATCATAAATATGAAGCTAATGAAAAAAAAATCAAAATCGATTTACACAAAATCTATTTTGACATAAAGCACCGTTAGTGTGCACATTTATGCCATAAATTTGGCAAAATCTAATGTCATCATCCAAAATTCCAGAAAATCACAATTTTTTAAAAAGTGAGAAATCTGGATCGCAAATACGAAACATAGATTCGAAAATCAACAAAATGAATGTCAAAACTCGTAAAAACCGAAGAATAGGAGGAAAATAAAAAATATCAACACTAAAGGAGGAGGACCTGAGGCTATGAGCGTGAAAGCATCGATGAATTTGAGGCTAGGAGCCTAGAAGAAGGGAGAAAAAAGGGAAATAGGTGGATGGGCAAAATTGGGATGCTAATTTCTATGTGTTTCATAATAGGAGTAAATTGGTCCTATTTTAGGAATAAAAATAAAAGGTCCTATTTTTTATTTTTACCCTAGTTTTACTCCTATTTGGGATAATTACTAGATACCGTATATATCCAAACTAGTACCCATTCTATGCTCGGGATCAAAAAACGGAGTCAATCCGAGCCTACATAGAACCAGTTTGGGCCGATCCATGGGACCTGGTTCTAGACCGGGGCCATTCCTACCTAGAACCAATCACTCCTCCTTGTCATTCAATCTTTAACTCAAATTAATTTAATCTATTCTTGCTAAGTTTAATATTCCTACCAATCTTGCACAATCATGTTTTAATTTATTGCTTTTGAAATCGCTAAAAAAATTTAAATTTTAATTCAATTTTCGATCTGTGTCAAGATACTACTCATATTTGTACTCCATTAATGCATTATACTATCACAAGTACGTTCAAAATGAATCCATTCAAAGCTAGGGATGAACTCGGGCCGGGTCAACCGACGCGGTACTATTACGAACTGGCCCGACCGGCGACCCGGATCCGAGCCGGGTGCAATATACCTGAACCAGAATTTCTTGAGCCAGACTCCGGGTCTCCATAAAATGAACCGGCCCAGTCCGGACCAATTTTTTTTTTCAAATTCTTTGGGAGGTAAATGGGTTGGGCTGGGTGTTTTGGACGGGTTTGAGTTATGGGATGGGGGGTAGGAAGTAATTAGAAAACAAAAAAAAGGTACCCAGCCCGAGCTCGACCCGGACCCGATAGCTACCCGGGCCGATTCCGGGTCTCAACTCTCAACAAACAAAAAAAAGCCCGGTCATGCCTGGCCCGAGTCCATCCCTATTCAAAGGGATGATTTATTATGAAAATTAATTCATTATTCATATACATTCACACAATCGCACTAATTGAGAATAGAAATTAGCATTATATGTGCGAAAAGGTTATTATCTTCTTTGAAAGTTCAATAACTTGATACCACATGCAAAGACAAAGAAAAAGAGGAAAACCCAACCAACATGGGCTAGACCAACAACAGGAAGAAATTCATAATCAAAACCCAAGTAAAATTTAAGAATCTGTTTCAAAGTCACAGTAGTAGCTCCAGGAATCTCAATCAGATCGTCTTTATCCCCTAATTGAGACGTTGCTATCCCGTAAAATGTCCATGAAATTGGTGAGGCCCAATAGTACCATCTCCACCATATCGGAATTTGCTGCAAAGATAATAAAAAAGAGAAATTTAAAAAAAGAAATGACGAAAAACAGAAGTGCATCATCAATTCAAGACCCGAAATATTCGTCATCTATCAATTAGGAACATAAACATAAAAATTATCAGTTTAGGAAATTAATTAATGATAACTATCAAGCGTAGTATTTTAGATTAGAATCATTTATCAATTTCTGTATTAAACTTAACATGTTATCTGGGAAAGAATTCTATATAAAAGCCCGCATATCAATAATTAAAACTTGAGCAATTTCCATTGTAAAAATATTAAAAGATCTGAAACTCCTTTTTATGGTGTTTGATAGTTTTCAATTTTCAGGACCTCAAGTGATAGATAACATAGTTGCCGGGTTTTGAATTGTAGCATATAAAATCCCCGCCCAAAAGAACTCAAATCTTAGTAGGTATAGCGAAATGTAGCTAACTGTTCTGGGAATAAGGAAGCCAGAGAAGAGGTTCCAAAAAGTGAGGAAGAAAGCCATCACAATGGCAGCAAACTGGATGCCAGGTGTCAATGCTACAAGCATCATTCCAAACAGTGTGAAGTACAAGAAACACATATATAGAAAATAGTAGAACCATAGAAGCTTTCCAACATTCCACTCGAATCCAATCATTGGGTATATCAGAAGACAGTAAAAAATGGTCTGTACAGCCACATATATTGCTTCTATACCACCCTGCAAAATATTAAAATCCGATTTCTTAGTCCAAACAATAGTGTATACGAAGAAGGGGCGAGTCAATGATGATTCTCAGAGATGTAGTGCCGGCCCCTCGACTGTTGGATATCAAAAGGCTTTCAGTACTTGCCTCAATGGCATACGAGCTCAATCCTTCTAAATATTGAACTTGTAAAACTGTGCACCATATTGGCTTAACAAGTGTAGAACAACTACCATCTCTGAAGGAAGAGCTCTTTTGAGATTGAAAAAAAATTGGTTACCTGAGCAAATGCATAGGGCAAAGCTGAATACATCCCAGCTGCACGTTCCCGATAGTAAACTGCTCTCTCCACACCAACAATGGCTAACACTGACGTTGTGTTTGTAGCTCCAATGAAAATTATAGCAGAAAAGATAGCTCCCATAATATTCTGCAAATCCTGTTGCTTTTGGCTGCAAATGTAAATGATCTTTGTTAACTTTATACACCAAGAGTTAATGAAGAAAATTGTGTGTGAACTTACAATTTGTTCCCTTTATCCCAAAAAGCAAGTCCAAGGAAAATGCCAGTAAATATTGTTATGAATAACCGGATAGCGTTGTACTGTGGGTTTCTCCAGTAAGACCAATGTTGTTTCCAGAAACAAGCTTTGCATTGTTCACCATATGATTGGGAGTACTTTGTGGGGAAGTGAAGGTCCTTGGAATCAGGAGGTGGGACATTTAGTTCTTTTACGAGTTCTTGATTCTTCCTGCAAATTTATTGACATGGATGGAAGAAGCCCATTATTATTATTATTATTATTATTATTATTGTTGTTATTGTTATTATTAGTAATAGTAGTAGTAGTACTTCTTCCGTATTTAAAAGTTCCCTACATTTTCCTTTTTGGGCTGTATTTAAAAGTTCCCTACACTTCCATTTTTGGTAAGTTTACCCTTTATAAAATACTAGTAGTCAAGTACTCTTACTTTATCTACTTTTTATCTTCCCTTTCATACTTTTACACATTCTCTCCTACTTTTTCTACATTATTCACTACCCCTACTACTTTACTCCTTAAATAATGTGTCCAACCTAATGTAGTGAACACTAAAATACGGAGGGAGTATTAGTTTCCTGTTGTTATTAGTAGTTATAGTTTCCTATTAGTATAGGTATTCTATTTTAGTTAATATTCATAATAGAATTAGGCTAAAGGGTCAAATAGGTACATGAACTAACTTAAAGTGTTCAATTAGCTCCTTATATAGGAGGTTCTGCCCGACCGTCGCCAATTGGGGCGGTTCCCGGTAAAAACTTTTGATGAAATTTTTTGAGCATCTTCTTCATTAAGTCTAGTTTACCCATATCAAATTTCAGCTAAAAATTAAATCGGGAAGGCAGTCAAATGATTTTCCGAAATGTACTGCGCTGTTTAACTACGCAGTTATCTTCAAAAAATCATTTGACTGCCTTCCTGGTTGAATTTTTAGCTGAAATTGGGTATGAGTAAACTAAACTTAATGAAGAAGATGCTAAAAAAAATTCATTAAAAAATTCCACCGGGAACTTCCCCAATTGGCGACGGCCGGGCAGAACCTCCTATATAAGGGGCTAATTGAACACTTTAAGTTAGTTCATGTACCTATTTGACCTTTTAGCCATAGAATTATGGTTACTCTTATCTTATACTGGGCCACCATGACTCCTAGGACTAATATAAATAGAGGTGCTATGATCATTAATAAGATTATCAATCTTTTGAAGTAATTCTTCTTCTTGTGCATTTGGTGGAAAAGATAAACACTTCCTTGTGAGAGCGGGAAGTTGAACTATTTTTCCAATCTTCTTCTTTTTATCTCCCAACCAAGCCCATAACATATACTATCATACTTCATTTTCAACAGAGCTATAACACACGTGAACCTAAACTGAATATGATCGGTTGTGTAGTTTCCAACTTAAAATCTTATTAACACATCTCTCTCTCTCTCTTTAATCTACTTACTCGTAAAGTGAAGAGTTGGCATAGATATCTGCAAAATCAACTCCAAGTTGGGCCTCTACAGCATCAGTGCTGATATCCAACATCCATGTAGCTGGATTATATCCATCCTTGATCTTAGGAACACCTGGTACAGCCTACAAGAAGGATCAATTTCAATGTACCTAATAAGAAGATTGATACTTTTCTCTGTTACAACTGTTAAACAAGTTCTAACCACCCCAAATAGATCCTAAGGAAGTTATCTCAAATTTATATATGAAACTCAGACCCAATAGATACCCCTTCAGACCCAAGTTGGGTTGGGCAAATAGGCCTCAGCGACCTCTCCAAATTATTAACCGGATGGGCGCTCCAAGGACATTATAGATCATCTGAGCAAATCAATCTTAAAGTTCACATGTACTGTGTTATTTTACCAGGGCCGAGTTGCTGGTGGGGCATTGGTCCAAGTCACCCAAAAACGATACTCAAACCTCACACTTATGTAGCATACTTAAATCCAATAGCTTGATATGAACAAAACACGATGTGAAGAAAAAAGATTACCTCAAAATAATCAATCATTTTCTGAGAGTTAAAGCCAAGAGGCCCTGCATAGATCACCTCCCCTCCTTTCCTAATCAACAATAGCTGCAAGAAGTCACTTCTTATCAACATGCTCCCAAATAAATTAAATATGAATACATTTCAAACTACTCCCAGCAAAAGTTGGGGCATACTTCATCAAAAGACTCAAAGATGTCTATACTTGGTTGGTGAATTGTGCACACAACTGTTCTCCCGGTGTCAACCGTGTTCCTTATGGTCCGCATAACAATAGCAGCAGCTCTGGCATCAAGACCCGATGTTGGTTCATCCATGAATATTATGGATGGATTAGCAACTAACTCCACAGCTATGGTCAACCGTTTTCTTTGTTCAGTTGAAAGCCCATCAACTCCAGGAAGCCCAACTAAGGAATTTCTTATAGGATTAAGCTCAACCAATCTCATTACTTCTTCTACAAACATCTGCAGTCATACATACAACCAAATGTACAACCACAGAGTTAAGCTCCATTTGTTCCAACAAAGCAGCTTTTGAAAATGTTTCAGGGAAGTGTATTCCAGGAAAATAATTTCTTTTGTGTATAATATAATATATATTTGACCCCAAAAAATAATAACCCTATAAGTGTTTCAGAAAATGACTTCATGACACCACAAAAGTCCAAGGCTATGTTTGCAACGTAGATAAAGGTTGTACAATGAAGAAAACAGACAATAGTCTTTTATGTTTGCCTTTACCTTGGAAACTTAAATCTATAATTCCATTTAGAATATATAATGGAAATATACATAAAAAGAGGTTTGTACAAAAACCTTAAAAACTCTGAGTTTGAAATAGTACTGTCCCTGATCACCTATTTCCTTTACAATGCCACATCCATTTTTCTCCCTGCTTTGCTTTACTAGCATTTTCTAGGCTCAAACAGATCCTAAGAAAAAAATTCCTTATGAAAAGTTGGAAAACTATTTCTAGGAAAATAGATTCATGTAAACAAACAGAGCCTCAGTGAAAAGATAAGTTCAGTGAGATATGGTTCACGACCTCTCGTGTATTCTTGAGTACATCGGCAGAAAGGCGCAACCAAGCAGAATAAAGGACAGATTCGTAGACGGTCAGATTGGGGGAGTGGATATCATTTTGTTCACAGTAACCACTAACTCGGGCAAAAGTTGATTGTTTCTTCGGGTATCCAGAAATGCTGATGCTACCTTCAACATACCCACTGGTTTTTCGCCCCGCCAAGACATCCATTAAGGTTGTCTTTCCAGCACCAGTGACCCCTACAAGAGCTGTCAAGACACCAGGTCTGAAAGCACCACTAATATCACAAAGGAGCTGGAGACGATCCTCCTTCATTCCTTCAGTCTTCATTTGCTGTATCCATATTTACATCAGTATGCAGAAAAAAAAGCAATTCAGCACTCAGCCCCAAAAGAGCTCTCAAAAGAGCGAAGATGGAGATAACACTGCTTATAATGGGTCGTTTAATCATATTTATAATCAGTCAATATCGGATATGTCCGACTTTGTTCTGAAAGAAAAACGTTGTAAAGTAACGGCCAGTCATACAGTTGGTAATAATTCAAATAATGAAAATGGATTAGGGTACTTGAATAAGTTCTTACAGAGGGCATATCCACATAGTAGTTGATGTGGCTGAAGGAAAGTGACAAATGCTCAAAAGGAAGAACCATTCCTTTCCTAGATGACTGGTTTGCTATAGCCGGGGGTTTGTCTTGTGAAGTCGTACCTACAGTTATTACTTAAAGTACATTAGACCAATAATCTTGAATGCAAAGACTGTTATTTAGGACCCTTTTAGTACAGGTTCTTTGGCTGAAAACAACTGAATTTGCTAAATTTTGTGAAAGAAGGTGTTTGGTTGCAACAGTTTCAGCCAAATAAATTAAAAACTGCTTATCCTCAGATAAGACTAAAGTGTCTACCAAACGGGATCCCTAATTTAGTCCGAATTCTTATGGAGTGACAAAAATGCCAAACCTTGACATGACTCTTTTCCCTTATCTTCTACATCTTCATCAGAAAGTGAAACCTTTGACTCGCTGAAAGCTGAAATATATAAGAGAAGTACAATAACAAGGCTAGTTGGTTAAGACGTTTTTATGTAAGTATTAATACGATGGTAAGATCTACTTACGGTTTAAGAAAGACAATGCTGCAATAAATAGAGCGTTGAAGAGAAGGGAAAATCCCCAGAGGGCTCCGTTGCAAATCCAGAACCAGTAGTCATCAGTAACGAAATTCCTTTCCTTGAGAATCGCTCTCCCAATAGTAGGTTCATCAATTCTGGGATCTGTGTTTGGCTGCATGATGAACAATTATAAGTTTCACCAGCAGCAACTTATGATTTTTAACAAATTTCCCATATAGACAAGATGTGAGAACTTACAGCACCCCATCTTTCGTGAAGGAATTCATTTGCAGCTAATGCATTTTGCACATAAGTCATAGGAGAAACATAATAACCCCATTTCATCCAAGGCTTAATGTCATCTACATGCAATCAAGAAAACACTTCACTTTGAGAACACTCTTATAGAAATAATCTGATCGATAAGGATGTGAACTCATACTTAAAAAACCTAAACAAGCCCCATAATATATAAGACCGTAAGCATGCATGAGTCTCAACCATAAAACATATGTTATAAGATTATGAGGCTCATCTCCTATATAAAAAAGAGAGAAAAAAGAGGCTCATCTCCTATATGGTGCACAATATGTGGTCAAATTCCAGATAAGAGATACTCTAGCACGATTTACTAATGTTATTTTTGACCGAAACACATTATATAGAGGCTGATAAATTATCCAGCAGTCCCTTGTCTGATCTCGACTCAACCTCCAAACATCAAATGCTTTAAAAATTACTGAGGAAATATTACATACCCTTAGCAACTATGAAGCCTCCAAGCACGAACACTAATAGCAAGGTAAATGTACCAAATGTGCTAGCAACAACATCTGTTCTCCCAAGAGCTGCAATGAATCGGAATAGAGAGAGTGCCATCTGATGTGTACCAAATAATGTCAAAAACTGGCGAAAGAATCTGGAACACACACGAGATAAGAAAAAGGTAGGCTAACAGTCAAAATGAGATTATATAACTTACATTATAGTTTCACTCACCAGATAACAGGAACTGGTGAGTGTTAATGACAAGGAAATTTAGAACAATGATGAGAATCACTTCATTTAAGCTGTCGCATATAAGAAAACTATAAAAAACAAAATTTTACTACTCCTATAGTCCTATCAGGTGAACCTTTTAGATAGGAAGGAATTTCAAGTCTTAAAAGTTTAAAGTGCGTGACTTTCAATGGGGTTGGTAAATTCATTCATAACAAAGGACTATTACCTTCCGGCAGAAGGGGCAAATCCTATTGTGTAATATGTAAGAACAACCCATATTCCTGATTCAATAAACGAGATGGGTATCCTAAAGAGCCAAATCGGTAGGACGAAAGCCCAAGCCGGATAGAACAAATGATCCCTTTGCTTAAAGAAAACGGGAAGCCTCATAACCGTCATTGCAATCTCAGCCATCCCATTAAACATCACGTTGATCAGACTGAAGAAAAGAGCCCCACAAAACTTCCCACCGTCTTGTAATCTCCCATATGGCATATCCACTCTCAAGAAAGCAGTGAAGGCACAGATGGACATGACCGTTATCTGAGTAGTTTTGAAAATGTACAGAAAAGAATTGCGCTTCATTAGCAACCACTCCCTAGAGAAGCACGCCTTCAGTAATTCCAGGTTGGAGATGCCGTAATTCCTTTGCACCAATGCGGCGGGATGGGTTTTCGACTTATCATAAGGAATGCTAAGCTCATCACCTAGCTCTTTTCCAACCCCGAATGAACTGAAAGCCTCTACAAATTCAGAAATTGATACATATATGTATGGCTGGTCTTTTCTGAACCAATATTGCTCTTGATCCTTCTTGGAAGTCACTTCTTGGAGAAAATCAGCAGTTCCCTTCCGTTCGGGACATCTGAATCCCTTATCCTCAAAGAACTCAAGAATGTTTTCTTTTGGACCTTGATACACTATCTGGCCTTCTGAGAGCAATATTATGTTGTCAAAGAGATTGTATGTCTCGGGGGCAGGCTGTAGTAGAGATATGATCATCGTTACATCCATGACGCGCACCAACTGCCTCATGTATTTTACAATCTGAAACGTTGTGGAACTGTCTAATCCAGTTGATATTTCGTCCATCAGAAGAACTTTTGCAGGTCCAACCAACATTTCTCCTGCAAATAAAACACAAAGGTTTAATAATAATGATGAAGATGATGATAAAGAATTGCATAGGAACAGAATGCTAAAAGATGTTCCACTCTTGAAAGTATTACCTGTGGTTAAACGTTTCTTCTGCCCGCCAGATATACCACGCCTCATGTCATCGCCAACTATGATGTCGGCGCAGCCTTCCAATCCTAGAATCTGCTGCCCCAAGAAATTGCAATAAATCTCCTCTGTTAAATAATGTCATCCCGAAGGATGAAGATTTTTGGAGTTGAGCTAGGCCAATCTTATTAAAAAGATTTGCTGGTCTGGCCGTGAAGGTTGAAGAACCTTATTATAAGTGTCTGGTTAAGATAGGTGTCTATGAAAGGGCTTGTTTTTACAGTCTAAATGGGAGTATTGAAGAGTTCCACGTGTTGCTAATGGCAAGCTTGTTGTTAGACCAAATGAGTGATTGAGTGAATGTGTACAATACCCAAATTGGGATCCATTCACTCCAAGCTAACTGCCACTTTTGAGCCTAAACCCCTCAAAAGTTCATCCCAGTACCAGAGGAAAGCTTGTGTGTATTGGGGGGAGCAAAAGAAATTAAAAGAAGAAAGAAGAACCTTGATGATGTAATCAGTGGCCAAGCTGGTGTGTTGACCAGGTACTGAAATGGACTTCAAGAACGCGTCAAGCTGAGGCTCTGGTTTGATTCCCGCTGCTCTCTCGCGTCTAGACAATTCTGCCAGAAGCTGATATATTGATCCAACCCCCAAACAGCGCCCCGAGAAATCCAATGTTTCCCTCACTGTCATCTCTCCGTGGTGAAGATCGTGCTGACTAATATAAGCGCATGTCTTCCGAGGCACAAATTCATCAAACTCATGCCCGCAGTATGTAACTTTCCCGCTCTTCTGAGGGAGGGAGCCAGGGACATCGTCAAATTCAATGTTTTCTTAAAAGGAAAATTTTCGAAATAAGAGTATAATAGTTTCAATATTTCAAGGAATTTTATTAGGGGCCCGAAAGATAGATAATATTCAATTCGTGATACGAAAGATAAAAAATTATCAATTTAGAATCTCAATGATTGAAAACTATTAATCTAGGACATAAGTTGTCATACATTTAAAAAATAAATAAATGGAAAATGGAAATTAATAATCATACCTTTGCACCCCATCTTCATTCACTGATCTCTGACCGATTTATGACATGTTATTCCAAGTTATTTTCTTATCATTGTAAAACATTATACCATAATTCCCACCTTATGATCACATAATGTTTTGTCGTTCTAGATATCACATACATGCTAAATATCACTAATTTTAAGTTATTTAGCCGTTCTAGAGAGAAACCCTAGTGACCGTCTCCCCTCTTCACAGGGGTTGAGATTTTCCGCCGCCTCTATCAATATGAGGTTGGAGCGGCATATTATACTGATTTTAAGTATTCTAATGCTTGGGATTGCAACTACGTCGAAGCAGATAGCGTTGGCGAACGAACGAAGTGCGGCTGAGAGGTTGTATCGAGACTGGATCGTGAGACCTTAGTCAGCCATTCCAACGGTGGTGGAGTTGGTATTCACCCATATTGCAAGAGTTCATCCTCCTCCGGAACCACCTTCATATCAGGGAATGCTTTGAGGAAAGATTTTATTTCAGTATTATTTTCTCTTTACTTGCAATTGTTTTCGTTTCAGTCTGAGTAGATTTGGTTTGAATGTTTGGATTTTTAGAGTTCTTTTGATAGGCAGAGTTTCGGTTCCATTCGTTTTAGGCCTAAATTTGCCCGTTTCAGATTTAGCGAGTCATGTTGCTTTGTATGAGGTGGCTGACTCTAAGTCTACTCCTAGGGTTCGTGATTGGATTTGTAATTTTTGTCTGAAGATTGTCTTGTATGTCTTCAATAAATATGATTCTCATCACCCCGGATGCATACTCTCCCTCAAAGTTTCAGGAAGAGTTTGCCATTAATTGTACTTCACAAAAAATGATTTTAAAGTAATTTTAGAAAAAATGCTTAATAGTAAGTGTTTGTAGTGTTTAAAAAATGCTTTCGAAAAAATAAAAGTTGATAGTATTTGGTAAGAAGTATTTTTGTGTGATAATAAAGTGAAATGCAGTTTAAAGTATGTCTCCACATACTTTTAATTGTCAACTTTTAAATACTTAATTTAAGCATAATCTCACATCTAAAAAAGGGTGTTTAAATTGTTTATGGTTTTATCTCTTTTGTAAAAACATAATTAGAATCAAAATCACATTTTTAAAAGCTAGTTTCCCTCAACTTCTAAAAAATTGCTCTAGAAATAATTTGGAGCACTCATAAGTATTTATGCATTTTCATCCAAACATTCAAAATCTACTTCTGCTCTCTGAAGGAGCGAAAACAATTTTAAAAGTAGATTCAAACACTCTCTAAACTTTTTTTTAAGATTAGAGCTGAAAAACACATTTTATTTTTTTTTTGTAAACGTTGTTTCAAATATAAAAAAATTGTGAATGACACTATCAATCCTAAAGTATGAGTCTTTATATCCCTTCTAATCTCATCAAATACTGTCACTTATATTTAAACATTAAAAATCAATAATTCGTATTACTCTTTTCCATGAGTCATTTAGGATGTTTTTACTTGAATTGTAATTTGCTGGTCTGGTCTGATCTGTTCTATTTAAGTCTGGTCTGGTCTGATTTGGTCTGGTAAACATTTGGTCTATGTGTGTTTTATAAATACGGAAGTCAGGTTTGGTCTGGTCTGGTTTGTTTGAGTCTGATCTGGTCTGATCTGATCTGTTTAAGTCTGGTCTAGTATTTTCTGGGACTGAAATTATTTCAAGTAAAAAATCCTTACTCTTCAACAATACATTTCTGTTTACCAACTCTCCCATAGTATTGAAGGCGGCCCATCCCTCAGCGTAGGGTTTTAAGCTTTCCGTCATTTTTCGTGCGGTGACTGCGAGCGATTAACATCCGACGGGAACATAAGGAGAAACGATGGTTCAGAAACACACACAGGGAGGAGACGAAGCTTTGTCTCAATCGCTGCACAATGGTGAGGAAGAGACCTCGGCGGTGGCGGGTGCAGGAATGGTGGAGAAGTTGGTCGATCAGTACAACGGGCTGGGCTTGGGGTGTCCGGAGGATGAACTGATATTGGATGACGAGGAAGCAGCGGAACACGACCCTGCAGTGGCGAACAAGGTGGTGGAGACCTTCCCCTTGGTCGGTACGATTCTCACGGACAAAGTTGTAAAATTCCAAATCTTCCGTGACTTGATGGCATCTTTGTGGCGTCCGGGTAAAGGTGTACTCATTCAAGAGATTGGGGAAAAGAGGCATATGTTTACTTTTTATAACAAAATTGATATGAATCGTGTGCTAGATAATAGCCCCTGGTTATTTGATCAAAACTTGCTAGTATTGAGAGCTATTAAACAGGGAGATATGCCGTTGAGAGTGCCACTAGATACGGCTAATTTTTGGATACAGGTGCACAATATCCCCTCTGGATATTCAAATCCGGGTAATGCCCGCAAAATTGGGAATCACTTGGGTAAATTTATTTCTCAGGATGACAAACAATTCGATGAAAAGTGGGAAGTCTACATGAGGGTTCGGGTGATGTTGAATGTGAGGAAACCCTTAGGAGTGGGAATAACTCTGAAGAAGGGCAAAGGGGAGGGCTATTGGGTTGACTTCAAGTATGAGAAGCTTCCTGGTTTTTGTTTTGCGTGCGGAGTTATGGGACCTTTTGGACCATGGTTGAGGGCGGGCGGAGGACGAACACGCATTTCGTTGGGTAATAAATGGCTGGTCAACAAAGGAGGGGCAAGAAGACTCCAAGGGGAGTTGCAAAGGAACCTTACAGGAACAGAGGATAAGGTTCAGGAGGAGGAGGACGAACCAAAGCTTGAAGGTACTAGAGGAAGTAGCGGTTGCATGGGAGAACAGAAACAGAGGCGGACTTGTGAGGCACTTGAACAGGAGCAAGAGCATGTAGAGGAGGACGATATGGCTCTGGATGAAACAAAAAACAAGGAAGAGACAGGCTGGAGCACCCAGACCCGCCTAAATATGTGAAGATCATTTGCATCTGGCAGTCTGCAACTACTTTTGATTTTAAGTTTATTTATTTCATGTTTGGTTGGTACTTAGGACGTCGTATTTTTGTGTTTGCAGTTTCTTTTGTTTTTGTCAAGACTCTAAAACATAGGATTAATGATGGGGAGCTTAGTTTGTTATTCATTGCCTCAGGTAAGTTCAGATTAGGATCAACGAATCTGGTTGCTTCTATTGAGTGATATGTTCTAAGTCTGGTTCAAGGGCGGACGGTAGACAGTGGGCTCCTTGTCTGGTTGTATTCTGTTCATGTTCTTTATTATTAATATAAGTCACCTTCTTCCAAAAAAAACTTTCCCATAGCATTCATAAGGCAGTATAAGCAAGTTTTCATTATTAAGGTTACACTATTTATATGAATATACAGTACTAAAGTAGGTTTATATTATATATATTACATACAAAATTCACTACTTTTTTACACATTCAAACTCAAAAATTTCAGAGAGAAAAACAATATACATATACAGTATTTAAACTAAAAAAATCATATGCAATTGAAACTCAAGGCAACACCAAACACAACACTAGATTGTCAAAAGGAGAAGTAGAAATTTGATTTTAGGATATCCCAAAAAAGAGAGTGCAAACTCAGAAATTTGGATCCTCCGGTTAACTGGATACTTCAAGTTCGAGAGATAGAAAGGAGGGAAATTATGGCGGGGTATGTTGATGAGTAAGATAGAGAAAATGGTAGAGATAGATAAAAAGAAAAAAGAAATGGGTGGGAAATGGAGAGAAAGAAATGGAGAGAAGCTGGACTCCAAACTCAAAGCGCGTTTGATAGCACTGAAATTGGGTGAATCGGCTGCTTCTGCTGAAATTTATGAAGTTCTGGCTTAAATGGATACATAGGCTGATTCTATTGATTTATGAAAAAATCATATTTAAAATATTTTTTATTAATAAAATAAAGAAACAATTTTATGAAAAAATGACTAAAATCAGGGACGGATCCAGGATTTCTGGTCAAGGGAGGCAAATTTTTTTCATAAGTGTAGGGGGTGAAAATTTTTGGTAGTGTAGCGCGGAGAATTTTTTCCCGCTAGTGTAGCTCGGCAATTTTTTTTGCTAGTATAGGGGCTATGCGTCAGTTTTTTATTCAATTTTTTTTTTATTAATACATACATGACAACATTTAAAACTATTACATTCTAAGTTTAGACTATGGAAAAACAACTTTGATTTTATAATTGAAATATTCTAAAAAAAGTATTGATACATTAAATCGTAAGAAATAGCAACTCAAATGAAAGTTATTTGAAGCTAAAGAGCTTAAAATGTATACATCCACCAATACTTTTTTTATTAATACATACACGTTGTTTAACCTCATGAATCTTTATCAGAATAAAGAATTGGTTTTTGAATTACAATTTTAGTCTAACAAAGAGGGTGTTTGTGAGTCATGAAGAGTTTTCTTATTATTACAATAGTGTTTTTGACATTATTATTTTTAGAACAATATTATATTGCCAATTCATATATATGGTGCATATTATATTTGCATTAATGGTAAAATAAGTTAAAGTTTATTATGTATGCAATAACTAGTTTGTAGAACGTAACTAGTAAATGAATTGTGTAATTTATGTCAACAAAAATTTATAATTTAGATTCACCTCACATGATCTAAAAACTACTAGTATTTAACTAGTGTGTTTGGTAGTTAATATCATTTGATATTTTACAAAACCGAGTACTAATTATCTAATAAAGATAACTAAACATTACAAAATTAGGAATTTTTATATAACAAATATCCCAAGTCTTAAACACTGATCAGAGTTGTTCTATTATGAGCCCGTTTGGTAACACTGAACTCGGCTATATCGGATGATTCTGCTGAAATTTATGAAGTTCTGACTGAAGTGGTTGTATTGGCTGATTCTGCTGATTTATGAAAAAATAAAATTTAAAATATATTTTATTAATAAAATAAAGAAAAAAAATGTAAAAATAGCTAAAATGTTCCTCTACAATAACTTCAGTCGATACAGTCAGAAAAGTAACTCCAACCTTACTTTTTCTTATTATTACACATTTCAGCGCGTGAAATCAAAAGTTACGTGTGTGGTGAAAAAGTTGGTTGATAAGTCTGATAAGCCGAAAAACAGAGTTCCCAAACGGGCTCTATATTATTTATTTGCTTAAGTATGTAAATTATTTTAGACGTTTCTTCTTTTAAATCTCCAATTAAGTTTTACATTATGTAAGACTATATATTAATTTTGAAAACTAAAAGTTAAGGGGGGCGAACACACACATATATCCAATTAAAGTATGAAAAAATTTATGAAAATATTACATATATCATGGAAAATTTTAAAAGTCCAAGGGGGGCGGTCACCCCCCCACGCCCCAGCTAAATCCATCCCTGGCTAAAATGATCATTTACAGTAACTTCAGTCAATGCATCCAGAAAAGTAACTTCAATCTTACGTTTTCTTATTATTAAACAATTTAACGCGCGAAATTAAAAACTATATATTTGATTAAAACGTTGGCTGATAATCCCGATAAATCAAAAAACAATGCCACCACGCTTTTGTGAAAATTTAATAGACATAAATTATGGATACGATAGATGTACAAAAAATGTGTCCACCTACATACCTAGTCTACTTTCTACATTACCTTGAAATCATCGTCAAGCATCCCAGCAAGTGTTCTAAGCAATGTAGTTTTCCCCGAACCAGGGGGGCCTAATAGCAATGTCATCCTGAGCATACTCACATAATCAGCAAAATGCAAAATTGTGAATGCAAAATTGGACTGAAATTTGTTGTTCTAGTCTGATTTGATCTGATCTGGTAAACGTCTGGTCTCTGTATATATTTTATACTCTGTAACTAATATGTTCAGGTCTGGTCTGATCTGATCTTGGACTGAAAACAATCTGAGTAAAAACATTACTACATATAAGACTAGTCTGAATAGTGAGGTATTTGGAGTTCAAAATGTTAAAAATGACATTTTTAAACTCCTAATTTCATACATTGGTGGGTTAAGAAGGGTAGTAAAAATGGGGAAAGGAATGAAACGTTTTAAATTTGAAAGGTGTATTGACAACAAAAAAAGAAAAGGGAAAACAAAATAAAAAAGGGAATGAATCGGAGAGCTGCTGTGCGCAGAGCCGCAGAGGGAATAGGCCGGGAGAAGGCGAAATAGATAGTAAAGGGAGTATGACTACATAAAAATTGTTTTCTCTTAAGAAACTATAAAGTACTATCACCACAAATCTACGGTGCCACACAAGGCCAGAAGCTAAAACGGAAGCAAAAACTAATGGTGATGCAGACGGCAGATGGAGAGGATAAAGTGGTCCGCAATGTTAGGTCGCCCACAACCCCTTCCCGTCAATAAATCAAATTTATCACCATTTCATATGTATTCATTCAGTCAATCATTTTTTTTCTGCAACTCAGCACCGTCAATATATTCACTCACCACAATTTTTTTAAATAAATGTATAAATCCTTACTTTTATTATCACACATCAATTATATGACACTTTTTTTTATTAATATTTATGATTTAAAAAGTCAAACATTTCGATGCAAAAAAATAAATTTTTACACAATATTTTTTTTTACATTTTGTTTTTAATTTTAGCAAGCTTTAAAATGTTGGCCATTTGTTTCACCGAAGACCCCACACCATGCATGCTTGGTGACCGCACAAAGGTGCTGCAGGTTCCTGGTGATAGTTGACAGGTGGGACCACGCATGGCTGGCGGCTGATCCTTTTGTACAAATGCTCAGATCCGACAGGATGGTGGGGAGATTAGTCACGGTGACTCAATCAGCAGAATGGCAGTAGGTCCATACACCCGTGCGCATCAGAGGTCCATCCTTATTTCAGGTTCTGTGACCTCCACCGGGTCGCTGCGGGGATTCGAACCTTGATCCATTGTTCCAAATCTCCCACCACTAGACCAACTGAGCTACCTGTGCGGGTCCCACTTTAGTCTTTCAAATTATAAGGGCTGTTTTTTTTTTGGGGGTGAATAGATTATAATTATTCGGGTTGTGGGCAACCTTATGTCACGTCATTAAATCATACGGAGTAATTTTTTTTTAAAATTCTCATAACTTTTTTATTTTTTATCCAATTTTTATAAAAATATACCAAAATTCATCCATTTTTATGACCTTTCACATGTCACAAATATCTAATATATAAAAAATAAAAAAATGTGAAGTTTAATTGTTAGAGTTTTCTTGAACTCAAAATACCATAAAACACAAATTTTAATTCATGAATCCTCCACAAATAACTTAATATTTCACATCCGAGCTTTACTTAAACTAATTTCATTTTTTGTTAACCTAAAAATGTTAAACAAAATTAATGAAATTTATTTATTTTTACATCGAAATGTGTATTTTTTATTTCGTAATTATTAGGGGGAAAATTAAAAGGAAAACATTACGTATAATAACTTAATTAATGTTTTACTAAATTGATATGTAAAAAAATATGCAAAACATATTTTATTGATGACGCTGGAATGCAGAAAAATAAGAATCAAAACACTTTTTTTTCTCAAAACAATTACTCCCTCCGGTTCTTATTTAAGTTCCCAGTTTGACTTTACACATATTAAGAAAATGAATTTGACTTTACCGTGGAGTGCACTGTTTAGACACTGTTTGACACTGTTTGACACTGTTTTGCACTGTTTTGTTTCCTAAAATGGAAGTGTGAACTTAAATAAGGGACATCCCAAAAAGGAAAGTGGGAACTTTAATAAGAACCGGAGGGAGTACGTTGTAATTTGAAACAATGAATGAGGCAATGAAATACGTACCTTGATGGTTTTACTATGCCACTCACATCTTTGAGTATTTGAACGCGTCTTCTTTTGGAAGGGGAAATGTAAGCCATCCTTAAAGCATTCTATGTTCATTTCGTGAGACAGAAAAAAAGATAGTCATATCCACGAAAAGTGAAAAAGAAGATAGTCATATCACATGTCAAACTTGGACAACATAGCAAAAACACTCTTTCAAGCAGTTACAAATTTAATGAGGCCCGCGACAATATTACTACGTACTACGTATTACATACGAAGTATCTACTACAATACTCCTTATTACTCTCTTCGTCCGCTAACGATGAGACAGGAGAAAGTGTCACACAAATTAATAAAAAGTGGTTTATATGGTTGGTATTAAATTTATAAAGTAAGAATAAAGTAAGAATGATTTAGAGTCACACAAACTTTACCAAATTTGGTATGGGACAATCTTAGTGGAACGGACCGATAAGGTAAAATGGGACAATTATAGCGGGATGGAGGTAGTATTACATATCTACTTTAAATACGTCCATGATTTTTTGAATAAATTTCATTTTTTATCCTACTAGTACCACATCAATTCCATAATTATTTTACAATCTTTGACTTTAATTACTTTTGGTATATGAAAATTGTTTTTCACCTATATACAGTCCTTTTCCAGTGGTTAAAATGCTTGGAGATGGATAGAAAATTGTCAAGAAAACAATAGTCAAGTATCAAAGGTGGACAAAGTGAAAGACGTAGACTAAATATGAAATTGACATATAACTCGTAGGACCAAAAGTTAAATTAATTCACAATTTTTTTTGAAGAACTGTCAATTTGGTCCTTGCATTATCACGAAAACGTCAATTAAGTGTTTGTACTTTTAAAAAAAATAAGTAAATACCCGAACTTTTAAAAAACATTTGGTTGAGTCCAACAACAGGTTATACGCCACGTCAGCAGTCACATGCTGATGTGGCACACATGTGACATTGGGCTTTTAGGGACGTTCGTCCGGTGATCCTCAGGGGTTGATGGACTGTTCCTATTTGGGCCAACCGAGTTGGTAAAAATGTTTGGGCGACCCAAGTGCTATGTTGACCCGATGAAATAAAATATAATCAAAACTGTTCAGAAACTACAACTTTCAGGACCAAGTATACACCAGATGACCTCCCACATGGATGGGGGCCAACCCACGTTTTAGTCTTGCATTTAGCAAAGATGAGCCGCACAAATCACTAGATGCAAGAAATCGAATGAATGGAGAGCTAAGGCATTAAATGAGGTAGGACCTCCTTTATGCATTATTGAGAGAAATGTCAAAAAGGCATTCTCAATCACACTCACCCTCATCATTTGGACGAAGTCATCATCTAAGGGGAGAAACTTTGCAATACTCCATTTTTATCATCCACAAACGAGCTCAAACCAAGGTGGTTCAAAGAAGAAGCTTAAAGAAGGAAAAGGATAGGAAAAATGTGAAGAATTAAGGAGCTTGACTTAGGTGTTCCTAGTTGTCGCCGGAGCTTCGCCGGAGTTCGCCGGAGTTCGACCAAGAAAGCGTAGAACTTCTTAAAACTCATTCGAGGTGAGGATGACTGACTATATTGCTTACAGGGACGGAACCACCCTAGGGCTAGGGGGTGCCCGTGCCCCTGCAGTGATTTTTTTTATTATATATATATATATATATTATTAATTTTTATTAGTTGAGCCCCTGCAACCCAATCCTTTCTCTTGTCTGCCCGGCCCAATCCCCTTTCCCAGCCTCAAGCCCTAAAGCCTCAAGCCCTAAAGCTCAACAACCCAATTCCCGTTCCCCTTTCCCAATCCCCGTTCGGCCTTTCCCCCTTTCCCAATTCCCGTTCGCGGTTCGCCGTTCCCCCTTTCCCAAATCCCAATCCGCGCTTCACTCAAGCCAGGAACTCCCAGCAGGCAGCGACTCACTATCGAGGCAGCAACTCAGCGAGTCAGCGACGGCCGACGCCGGCGACGTGGCGAGCCGGCGACGCTTGAGTCCTGACGAGTGATCGACCTCGTTCTTCACTTCTTCCCAGTTCCCACAGTTCCTAGTTCGGCAGTTCCGGACTTGCTGAGTTGCCGGTATGTTTTAATTTTTTTTTAATTGTTGATGAATGATTTATGCTTCATTGCTTCGTATATGTTGTGTGACTTATGGTTGAATACTTGAATAGTTGAAAAATTATACCCATATTATTTCATTGTAGTTGGTATAGGTTATTTGACAAACAATCGCTATGTTACGATATTTTCCGGCAATCCCGCCGAAACCGAAACGGCCTATCATTGGTGGTTCTTCATCGAATAATTTAGTTTCTTCATCGGAAAATGTCATTCCTAACAATGAGACTAATGTTAAAAAAGCTCGAATAGAGGTTGAATTGTCAGATGATGACATTGTTGGTGATCCTGGATTGCGTAAGTCGATTGAGACTTATGATGTTAATATTAGAGATGAGTTGATGAGACGTTATTTGACAAAAGGTCCTTGCCAACCGTGTGACTTTAAATTTCCACAAAGTGATTTTAATGGGCGCAACAGATCATTCCAAAAACAGTGGTTTGATGAATTTAATTGGTTGGAGTATAGTGTTGCTAAAGATGCAGCATTTTGCCATTTGTGTTATTTGACGCGTCAGGTTTTAATCAAAATTAAGGTACTCTTTAAGTAGTTATTTTATTTAAATTTTATAGTTTTGTTTATTGCTATATTCATGATGCATATGATTTTTTTCTTTCTAGATTAGTATATCATTTCTTTGTTATGGTGCCCTTGCGAGTCACGAGTCCTGGTTCCGCTACTGATTGCTTATAATTAATGAGTTGATTTCGTAAGATTACCTAAGGTAATTAAATGTGATTTTTATGGATTATTAATGATTAGTAATGTCTAAGAATGAGAAGACGTTTGTCTATAAAGAAAATGAGCATGATATACAAATTTGGGAATAAATTGTGTATGATTATGTGTTACAAGCATGTTGACTTGAAAGTGGAGTTAACTATGAATTATTGTTGAAATATACTTTTTGCTTCATATAATAATGTATGAGTGAATAAAAGTGATAATTTGTATGTTGATATAAATTATATTTTCAATGTAAAATGAGTGTGGAATTGTCTCTATGACTATGAATGAAGAACCTTGTTGGTTGGAATTGATCCGACTAGTATTAATATACTAGTCGGGGAATTAAAGCGAGATTTTGCTAGAATTGATCCTAAGGTGGGATTGTAAAATGTTATGCCTTAAGTAGTCTTAAGAGATGCTTTAAGGTATGAATATATGAACTCTAAGTTGCAGTGCGGGTAGGCCTAAGGGATACCCAAGATGAAGTGAATAATAAATTGATCCTAGATATAGAATTGGCCTACGGGTGTGTTCGGTAGTCCTTGAGGATAGCCGGTTGAATTATAGTAATAAGTAAGGACCATGACCCTTCCCGACTCTAGAGAGTGTGGTTGGATAGCATGGACTTGCAGCGTGATCACGTGTATAGTGGAATCCGAATCGACTAGGCTCCGACAGCGGCAACACATAAGATAGGACCTCGAAGGGCCTTACCTTCCTATGGAATGATGGGTATGAGTCCAGGGGTGAGATGTTGGAATCCGAAGCGATGACACTATGAGGCCTCAGACAGCGATAGCAAGTTCGGTTGAAACAATAAGACCTACAGGGTGTGTCGTGGTAACGATGAATGAAATGGAAAATAAGAAAGGATCGTGCGCCGATAAATCAATGAATTAACTTATTATGAAGATAATAAGGGGCGATAATAAATTATTATTTATATTATGATATCACCCTAAATTCAAAGTCTTAGAAATTGAAACATTGATTATATTTAGTGTAATTGTCATTGTACTTTTCAAAGCTTCAAAGTACTGACCTCCCCTTCACGGGGGAGGCCACCTCACAGTTTCAGGTAGAACTTGAAGGTTGCTACCATCGCCCGTTGCTTCGAGAGGATCAAGGAAAGAAGACGTGGTTCATGCTTCTTCCGTTCTGTTTTAAAAACAATTATATAAATGTTCATTGATATTATTTTCTGAATAATTATTTGGGGGTTTGTATGCTTAAGTTTCCCAAGTGTGGCTTGAACACTTGTATTAATGTTTATGCTGCTTTAAATGAATGTTTTACATTATGTTTGTTTATGGGTGTACTATGTGTGAAAGATATTCAAGACGCCTTGTATAGTATGGATGTGTTGAACTGCGGTTGACTATTCGTACTGTACAACGGGTTGTTGATGTGTCCAAGCAGGTCTGGGGCGTGACATGACAATTGACAACCCAGTCATCGGTGATATTTGTTTAAGGATTTCTAATGTTTCCTTTGATCATGTTAGGCGATTGTCGAACAAGGTAGCCCACGAATTCGCCCAACCTGCATGTTCTGAGTCGGGCTATTGGTTTTGGTTATATGTTCCTCTTGATTTTGGATGAGTTGACTTGGACTGAATTTTTTTGATTTGGTATGATCCAATCTTTGTGAAAAACTATTAAAATCTGGTATGATCTTGAATATTGAATATATTCAAGATGAGCCTGGTCTCATCTGGATTGATTTGATATTGAATATACCCAAGTAAAAACATCCTTAATAAATATAATTAAATTCTTTCCTTTGAAAAAAAGAAGGGTTATATAGAAAAATATTGAGGAGCACGTCTCTCTTATTCAACTGTGGGATAACATTTTGGAAACAGTAGAAAAGTTGAAAAACAAAAATAGTATAGAAATTACTCCAAATAGGACTAAAACTATGACAAAAACTCAAATTAGGACTTACTATATTTTCTTTTCAAAATAGGACCATATTAGCCTTATTGGAAACATACCTATTTTTCTTTCCATTCTTACCCTTCTTTTAAATATGAGTTAATAAATGTTTAATTCATAATAAATTCAAAAAAAAAATCAAAAATTCGTAGAAAAATAATTAAAAATTCATAACAAATTATAAAATTAAAAATTAAAAAAAAAATAATTTTTTTTTTTAAAATTAATAAAACTCCATAAAAAATTAAAAAAAATATGGATGCCTTTCCCACCACCTGTACTACCTCCCTGCACCACCATCTCCGGCCGGTGAAAAAATGTCATTTTTTCTAAAAACTGCCATTTTTTCTGAAAATGCCAAAAACATGGCATATTTCTCTTTGAGAATGCCAACATTTTCATTGTTTTCTGCCATAAATATGGCATTCGTAATGAACTTGGCATTTTTTTCCCTTAGTGACTGGAGGTGGTGGTGCAAAGGCGACAGAGGCGGCGGTGAATTTTATTTTATTTTTTGAGTTTTTTTTTAATAAATATATAAATTATTATTATCGAAATATTTTTATTAATTTTTTTGTTTTTTTACGATTTATTATTATTTTTTATTATTTTATTATGAATTAAAACATTTCAATAGCTATAAGAATATATTTGTCCAAGACACACATAATTAGTAATATGAAAACATAGTTTATTATTTTGTCATATTTGTGCAAAGTGAGTGACTTTTAGTCCTATTTTGATAATTAACACAAAATAGTACGATGCACTAATCGAACCCCAAGACGTCAATTACAATATACTTCAAAGATCGAAATTATTGTCCCTTTTCTACATAACATTATCAACTACCGTAATAATAAGGCAGATTATATGGTACCCTGAAGATACTATACATTTGTTCACATGGATTAATCGGAATGCTACAGTTGAATTATTTAAATCTAAATTGAAAATGATATAATGATTTGGACCAATCAAATGATTGATAGGTACGGCACCTCAATTTTTAAGTGGGTATCGGAGTTGTCACCTAATAATAATAATTATTACTCTCTTAGTCTCTAAAACTTTTTCAATTTTGACTGGATAATAATAAAATAAAGGAAAAATTGATTGTAATAATTCCAACTATTGGCGATCCGCTCATAATAATCCCAACTATCAATTATTTCAGAATAATCCCACCTTTAGGGACCTTCCGCCAATAATGGTCTGACGTGGCTGACTATAAATAAGTTCATATAGTTTCTAAAGAGATATAGCAGGTAATCCCTATAAATAATCCCAAATTTTAATTTTTACGCTTAATTTCTATTAAAAATTCACTTGTTAGAGCAGGTAATATGCGGTCATGGACCATTATTGGCGGACGGTCCATATAGTTGAGAGTATACAAAAATAATCAATAGTTGGGATTATTATTAGCGGACCGACAATAGTTGAGATTATTATTTTCAATTTTTCCTAAAATAAATTGCATGTTTGAAATTTGTGCAGATAAATGGTCAAATAAGCCCTTGTACTAATGTGAAACCGTCACATACACCCATCTACTAAAAAAAGCATCACAAGCATCCACTTACTTCATAAAATGAGCCATACAAGCCCGATGATCGGCTGAAGACTTGGGATTCCCGGTTATGTGATGATGTGGCTCGTTTTTAACCCAACCCTTTCTTGTCTGGGAGTGATATGCTATTGTGGTTAATTTTTACCAACCTCGATGCACTCCTTCGACATTGTATTACGCCTGATTCACGGTTAGGGCTATTCTCCTTCCATTTGAATATTCAAGCACCCATGGACGACGACGAGGTACCCAGAGGGATTTGGTAGTGCTTTGGTCGTCTCCTTCACTGAACTGCTTTATCTATACTCCTATATTGTTAGCTTCGCATACCTTCCATCTTTACATCCAAAAAACTTTCGACCGGTGTCTCTGACAACACACAGGGAGACTTCAGACCACATTGACAATACACGCTTGGTTCATAGTTCAAAGTCGGAGTACCTTTCACGTTCGAATTGAACGAACCTGCAGACATGTTGAGTCGAAGATGATGAAGGCTGGGAAAGTTTCGTTCTTTTAGGGTTGGCGACGCAGAAGACTAATATGGCATCACCCCTTCCCTTTTATGGTTTAAATGAAATTAGGACGTGATGATGTGGAGAAAAGTAATTAGATTGGGTGAAAAACGAGCCACATCATCACATAACCGGGAATCCCAAGTCCGCAGCCGGTCATCGGGCTTGTATGACTCATTTTATGAAGTAAGTGGATGTTTGTGACACTTTTTTAGTAGATGGGTGTATGTGACGGTTTCGCATTAGTACATGGGCTTATTTGACCCTTTTTCCAGAAAACTAAAAGGGGAAGTTTTTTTTTTATGGTACCAAAAAGGAAAGGTTAACAAAATTTTAAGGGACATAGTACTATATACGGAGTATTATTTTTAATATGTAAATAAATCTTCAGTTTAGTTAGGTGTAAAACGATTTTTGAGTACTTGAACCGATTCCAATCCATGTATTTTAGGGTCCCAATATTTAAATCTCATTCGCAGTGGACATCGATTCGAGTTTTTCATCACGTTTAGGTTGGGCTTTTTCTCCAACGCTCTTTGGGTTTTTTCAATTTCGACTTTTGATTCTTTAATTCAAAATGCCAATCCAACTAATAGCGCAAATTATACCGTGAGATCGGTTCAGCGTGCGCATGATGTGATGATCTCAAAAGGGTAGCGTTTAATTATTAATTAAAAAAGAGACCGAACAATTCATCGCCTTCTCTAGCCATCTCGTTCAAAAACAGAGCATGCAAAAATTTATAATTCCTGAATCACTGGACGATTTCATCTCTACACCCACAAATCCGTTTCCTTTATATGTGAAACCTCCACATTGAATTTACATGCTGAACCGGTGAGCATAGCTCAACTGGTAGCGAGGGAGTGCCACAAGGGTTAGGTCCCGGGTTCGAATCTCAGCAACTGCGATGAGAGACCCTAAAAAATGCATAGGGCCTCGCAAGTACCGGGGACAGAGCCTCACTCTCTATCTGTCAGATTGTGATTATAGTCCAACTTACATCCTCCCAACGTATCTTCCGGTCGGGGTTGGAGGCCCTCAGAGATGGGGTGTCATCTTTTTTTATGAATTTACATGGTGAATCAAATTTCATACGAGTATCATTTTCATTTGAATTTCCGGCGAACTTTTATATTGTCTTCAACTCAAAACGAGTACCATACATCTGATTGCAGAATAGCTTTAGATTTGACTAATTATTTACTCGGGATCATAAACTGACCAACATGTCATGCATTACTACCATCTGGGTCGGGAGGTGGGTACCATGTTGGTCTCAATCGGCAAGATTTGAAAATTAATTTCGATTTTTTTTTTATTTTACAATAGATAAAGTGTAACAAAAAGATTCTACATTAATACTGATACACAAAATAAATTTAAAAAAGTAATATTTTATATATCATCTTATGAAAAAAATATAGGAGTGAAAATTGGTTCAATTTTTGAATGAAAATTAAGAACCATTTGAAGTACCAATTATCCAATATCGATTCGTTTCTAGAACTTGAAGAACAAGTATAAGAATCAATAGTATTATATCAGTGAAATTCTGGTATGTTGTCGCTTATCCATTAACTATTATTGTGTTTCATCGTTAAAAACAATTATTAAGAAGAAAAACTCGATTGCACCTATGTTCGTACCACATGTAGCAATGAGTGTAACGCTTGTGCCACAATTAATGTTCTTACTCATTGAGTTTCTTATTAATAAAAATAAATTTGCATGCTTATGTTTTGTTTATTCTTATTGAAATAAAAATCAGACCATCGGCAGTGAACTCTTGTGACGGAGGCGAACGACGGTGAGATTCAGGCAATTCGGTAGTGGCGATGTATGTGAAAATTCGGACCATCGGCAGCCGCAGTCGGGATTTAGGTCTATGAACTTCTTCAAAGTTTATAAACTTATCCATGGATTTATAAGTCAATACATTTCATTCATAAAAAGTTTTAAAAAGTTCATTGATTCAAAAATATTCACCACAATCCATTTCAATACACTCCCGAAAAAGTTGGAAAGAAAAAAAATTGAAATTAAGAAAAGAAAAGAATAAATGATGCCATCTTGAAATCATATTGTGGTATCATGACATTATTATTAGCGGGTTATTATTAAAATAAAATATTAATGCTATCATTAATAGTAATTACTTCAATTCACAGTAATTATATTTATTCAAGGAAACAATACAACTCTTTTATCTATGAAAATTACATTATTTAGGATAAATTTTTAAATGAAAAAAGCAAAGTCAATAATAATGCATTACCTCAATTGCATTCATGGTGGAATTTGCTAAAGTACGTAATGCTCTACGCCCAACAAGAGCCTCACCCACAACTGACAAATGTTCAAACCTCACTTCAATCTTCGGCATATCGATTCCTACTCTGCATCCCGCAAGTACAATTTATTTATTTAAAAATGTGGTGGTATATCTCAGTAAATTAATTTGGAAATAATTGTCATTACATACTGTATACTCTCTCCGTTCTTTTTTAGTTGCAACGGTCAACATATCACATTCACCAACGCACGTCTTTTACCGTAATTATATCTTAATTCTATTAGTAAAAAAGATATTAAAAATCATATTTTGAAAATATGTAATGAGATAAATTGAACGATATTTTTTTAAAAATAATTTTCATAAAATAAAGCGTAAAATATAGTCAAAGTAGAGCATGTGAATAGTGTAAATTTAACATGTTGCGATTAAAACGGAACAGAAGATAGTATATTATACTCTGTATATATAGATTCAAGTGTGAAATATATTTAATGTCAAAAATGAGAATCGATGTGAACGGTTAAACTAAACATACTACACTAATCTCGATGTTGTTGCATCAAGGGAATGCAACACGAGATTTCTACAACTATTATGAAAGTGTCATCTCTCAATGGGTATGTTTGTGAATTTGAAGGGAAGGGGAGGGGAAGGTTTTGGAGGTAAGTCATTGAAAGGAAAGGAGATGGAAAGAGTTGGAAACACTTCTTCTTGTTTGGAGTATCAAGTTTGAAAAGATAAGAGCTTGTTTGGTTCAAAGGAGAGGAGGGAAGGGAGAGTCAAGGAGGGAAGAGAAAAGAAGGGGAAGGAAGGAATTTGATAAAAATTTATGTTTGGTTGGAGGAAATAGGATAAAAGATTTAATGAAAATATTTTCGCAATTTACTTTTATTTGATAGCTTACTTAAAAAAATAGATACATGTCTAACTATTGTGAAAATTACTCCTATAGTCATGAGTCATAATTTTATTTTATTTGATTTTTTACTTTTTTAATTTTATAATTTTTCATTTTTCAATTTGAATTTTTTAATTTTTTATTTTTATTTTTAAATATTTTTATTTTAATTTTAAAAATTTTTAATTTATAATTTTTAAATTTTTCATTTTTTTAAATTTTTAATTTTTTAATTTTTTAATTTTTGAAAACTTTTTGTTTTTTACCATTCTCTATTATAACGTTTTGTTCATTCAGGTAGGAGATAGATAGTTTGTGCTTATTAACACATTTCCTCTGAAATACTCCGATTTGGGGGTTTAGAATGGAGGAAGTGGAAGATTTTGAAATTCTTCCACTTTCCCCCATTCCCTCTATTTCTTTCAACCAAACACACATAAATCCCCCACTTTCCTACCCTCCCCTCCGAAACCCTCCTACCAAACAGGACCTAAAAGTTTTGGATGAATTATAATTAAAATCACTTCACATATATGACGAATACAAATAATTGAATTTATATTTATTAAAAATTGAGCTAAAATTGTCATTTAATTATTTATACTTCAAAATACTCTAATTTGGGGGAACTTGAAAATTGAGCATTTGAAAAGGTTTGGAGGGTTACAAAAGACCTCCAAAATCATCTCCTTCATATTTTTTAACTCCCAAACTTGAAAGGAATCGGAGGGTCATAAACCCCTGTCAACCACTCATCCCCTCCAAAACCCAACTCCCAAACATATCCTTAAAGTCAAATGAAGCTTGTCACTTTAACATGAATTCAACAATTGAGATTTATTCTTATTTGTCACGAGACAAAATTAAATAATCAACTATCACAACTTTTATAAGAATATTAGGGACAGAGTTTGTACATCCTATTTTTTTATGAATACGGAGTACTACGTATTAGGGCTAGATTCGGTTCGGTTCCCAAACCGAAATGGGAAGAATCCGAACTGAACCGAACCGACCTTTCGGTTTATCATGTTCTATAAGCCGAAACCGAACCGAACTTGATCAGAACCCAATTTTTCGGAAACCAAATTTTCGGTACGGTTTTTCAGTTTTTGTAAAAAAAACCGAATGAACTTTTAATATTTGTATAATGAGTAACTAGTACTCGCCCTGAAGCTTTACTAGAGACTTATTATTTAGTTGCTGCACAAAGGGGCGATTATATAGGCTTATAGGAGGAGTAAATCCCCTACTCCATCCGATGTGGGACGAATTAGATACGGAAGAAAAACCAAAGAGAGGAGCTGGGACTGAAGGAAAGCAAAAATTTCAAAGCAATCAATCCCTGGGGGGAATTCGAACTCGGGTGAGACGGAAGGCAAGCATGATAGTGACCGTTGAGCTACTTCAAAATGTTAATACATAAGGACGCTAAACGTAATAAATACATTAAACCTATACAAATTAAACAAAATAATTCAAATTTATTATTTAATAAAAAAATCGGATCGGTTCGGTTTGAACCAATTTTCAATCTCAAAGAACCGGTTCCGAACCGATTTTTATTCGGGTCCCAACTTTCGGGTTCCATTAAAGTCGATTTGGTTTCGGGTCGGTTTTTTTATCACTCGGTTTAGTTTTTTCGGTTCGGTTTTCGGTTAAAAATTCAGGCCCTACTACGTATTACCTCCAACCCCTAAACGGAAGGGACATATGGGGCTTGTTTGGTATCAACTGCATTGGCTGAAAGCCTGAAATGGCTGAAAAGACTGAATATGCTGAATCTGCTGAAGTGAAAGTGTTTGGTAACATGTTGGCTGAAATGACTGAATCAACGTAAAATTACCATAAAGGATATGAAAGTGTTATACTTGCTATTTTCCTTGAAAATGCAATACATCCTTTCTTCCTGAAACTCAACATCCAATGTACGGCTTTTTTCATATCTCACTTAGAAGATACACTATTTCCAAAACTAACTAAAAAATGGGTTTGTTGAAGAGAAAAGAAAATCAGAAATTCTTGAAAGAACAAAGAATTGAAAACATAAAAAAAGAACAAAGAGAAGGAACACAGATCGGGAAACTAAAGCACAAGGACATACGTGAGGTGAATAAGAACAATTCAAACCCATGAGATATTATGGATAAGAAGAACAAAGAAAAACTTGAGGTGAATAAATAATCTGGAAATCATGTTTATCTTAACCGCAGAGAAGGAAACGTGGATAAGGGAAGCCACTGTTCTTGCGATAACGGGGTGAAGGGGTCTTTGCAATTGGCAACAATAGAATAATAAAAATCAGCTAGAAAAGTAATAAAGCCCTTGTTTTTTCAGCCGATAAGAATATTCACCTCAAATAGCCAATTTTATAGGTGTTTGGTGATTTAATATGCACTTTCAGGTTTATCAGCGTATTATTAGTGCTCCAAACGGCCCCATGGAGTACTAAAGTGTACCTAATGTAATCGTAATTAAGGTCGTTCTATGGTGCCTTTGAAAATGTGGAAGGTATCGTGCATCTCAGTGTATGCACATGAAAATTTAAAACATGCATTAATGAAATGACTTGAAATTATTATTATTACGTACGTACGTACCGATCAATCCTTTCCCTAAATCTGATAAGAAGATCGTGATGATCTCCGTCAACCCCATTGAGAATGCTCTCCAATAGCACTTCCCTCTCTTGCTTACGAAGCTTGGTGACGTCCACTTCCTCCGCAACAACTCTACCGTGACCGCCCACTACTGCCGCCGCATGCTTCGTCAGCATTCCTTTCCTCATCCTTTCAAACGTCGGCAGCCTTTCAATGGCAGCCCACACGAGCTCGTACTCCTCCTCCTCCTCCCGCCGCGAGCTCCGTCCGAACACTACGTCGTTCTGCCGGAGCCTGCTGCCGGATTGCCAGCTCCCGGAAGCCAAACTCCTCCTGCTACCAGTATATGATATTATGGCCGGACCATCTTCATCTAAATCTCTCGACATCTTTTATCAATTACGTACGCCACACATGCACGCTAGCTGTGCGCCCGTGGCAGGCTATATATGAAATGGCCGGAGTATAGCTAGCACACTATATTGATGAAGCTAGTAGCTCAACTTGCCTTTCCTTGACAGAGATCAGAGCCGATCGAGGATAATATATACTACTACATCTACACGTACCTAGCTAGCTAGCTTAATTCACTGCGACTCAGTACTACTCGTACTACTTTAGCGAGAAGTTACTGGGTACGTGCAGGTGCATTAATTGTCTAGCTCGCTCTCTCCCGGTATATTAGAATCAACTTTGACAAAAAACGTACTACTATCTCCATCCTTTAAAACTTTGTCAAAATTAATCGGCAATAAAGAAAAAATGACAAAGTTTTTTGTGTGGTTAAAATTTGTGTAGAAAACAGAGATATAACAGAAACAACAAAATACTCCGTAATTGATTAAAAGGGAAAGTGGAAAAGTTTTTTGAGACGTCCAAAAAAGAAAAAATGACAAAGTTTTAAGGGACGGAGGAAGTATATTTTTTACATAGTAATATGAAAGTGTTTTGAATATGAAAATTATGGATATTTTTACTTGGATCGTTTTCGGTCCCAGATCAAATAAGACTAGCTAGACTTAAATAGACAAGACCAAACTTAAACAAATCAGATCAGATTAGACTTCAACAGACTAGACAAGACTTGACTTCCGTAGTTATAAAATACACGAGAGAACGATGAAACAACGGGAATTTTCAACAAGCCTTGCAAACACGGGACTTCCTTTTAGGGTACTAAAAGACAATTCCGAACGGAGGAAATGTTTTTTTTTGAAGAGTTACTTTAACGAATTCTGAAGTTGCAAATCCGAATGGCTAAAAAGTTCTGAAGTATTTAATTAACCAATTGGAAGTTAGAAATCCAAATGGTTAAAAAGCAAAAAAAGCATGCCACTAATTTTGTTTGTTATGTGTTGTGACTATTTTTTATTAAATTTTTAAATTTTTGCATTTGGGAAAAAATCCAAATCCATTTTTTTATTTTCGTACAAATTTTATTAATTTTTTAATTTGTTAATAATTTAATTTTTTATTATTTCCTTACAAATTCATTATTATTTTTTTCATTTTATTAAGAATTAAAAACTTTTATGTGAATTAATACCTTTAGGGGTATAAAGGGTAGAAAATTAATGTTTAGTTTTATTTGTGAATGATTTGGGTTTTAGTCATATTTGTATAGTTAAGCTTTCATTTCATTGATGAGAAGTAGTTTGGATAGACAATACTTTAGCAGTAATGAAGATAGAAAATAGTAGTTTAGATGAAAATAATATTAGTATATTATATTCAATAATATACTCATTGAATAATTTTGTGCAACATTAAATAACTTGTGCTAAGGAAAAATTAGAAACAGTCTTATTTTTGTCTTTTACAAGTCCAGGGGTAATATCTATGTCATTTTTTCTTTTATTTTCTCTCTTTCTTTTGAAAAAATTATAAGAGTTGCGTTTAAAAAGATTTCTCTCTTCGTCGCATAAAATAATTCCTACTTTGATTAGGATCGAAATTTAAGAAAGTTGGAATAAAGTGAAAATGTATGACATCCACACAAAACTTTCCAAAAAAAGAAGTGAGAACTATTATATCGGACAGATGGAGTACACATTAATTTCATTTAATTTTCTATAATTTAATTAATTTCATTTATTAATTAAAAAAAACTAAAAAAATCAATGTCATTTTACATAGTTAAAATAAAAAATACTACGTAAGTAATACTAGTATATAAAACACCCCATTTGGAATTGCATCATCCTAAGGTCAGTGAGATTAAAAAGTAAAAAACACCCCATTTGGATACCCATGTTCCGAATGGATTACAAAAATAAATAAAAGAAATCTAGATTCGGAGTGTGTTCTTCCGAATATGTGTAAACCTGTTTTTATACAAAAGCAAAAATTGATCGTAATAATCCTAACTATTGGTGGTGCGCTTATAATAATCCCAACTATCGCTTATTTCAGAATAATCCCAACTTTAGGGCTCTTCCGCCAATAATGGTCCGAGGTGACCGATTATAAATAAATTCTATAGTTTCTAAAGAGATATAGCAGGTAATCCCTATAAATAATCATGAATTTTAATTTTTACGCTTAATTTCTATTAAAAAATCACTTTTTAGAGCAGGTAATATGCGGTCATGGACCATTACTGGCGGACGGTCCATATAGTTGGGATTATACAATAATAATCAATAGTTGGGATTATTAGTAGCGGACCGGCAATAGTTGGGATTATTATTTTCAATTTTTCCTATACAAAAAACTCCAATCTATTCCTAATGAGGAGTTCCTAATTACATATTGATGGATAGTGTACCCGGGGTTAGCTTATCCGAGGGGTTATTACGGGGAATAACTAGAGAGAAGTCATAGCAAGTAAGTAGAGAGAGAAAGTATATTAGAAAGTATGCAGCGTGTGTATTGTCTTGTGACTTGGTTACAAAAGGGGAAACATGGTGCTATTTATAGTAGTAATAAATGCCAGACAGGGACACGTGTCAAGCGTCTATTGGCCGAGAGGTCACCTCAACTGGTTGGCGCTGGCAACCGCATGTGGCCGCATTTAATACGGCTGTTGGATTGGACGTTGCACGGGGTACGGTGATCCATACGCATGTGGAGCGGATATTATGTCGGAAAAGGCGCCCTCGGCAGTAGATGACTAGCCGAGGGCTCTGAGTACCGGGGACCCCCTTAGTGCCGAGGGCTCCAGTTGCCGAGGGCTACTGAATTTCGCCATTTTTCCCAGTAACTTTGTTATTCTGTCTTGGCCCTTCTGTGAGAGTTAGAGCCTTCGGCCAGGGGGCCGAAGGCACCCCTGGTGCGCATTGTGGGCTGCTTGGTGCCTTGGGCGCCGTGATTTGGGCCTGTTGTGCTTCCTGGGCCTATTGGGCCTTTATTGGAGTAGTAGGAGTCTGTGGGCCGGGGGTTCCCGGGCCATATACTCCATCAGGAGCCCCTCACTCATTTGCCGAAAGGTACTTGAGGGAAAAGGAGTAATTGTGTTTGTCCTCTGCCGTTGTTCCGCTGTAATTTGTAGAGTTGTGGGTAGTTTGTTGTTTGTCCATTCCGCCGATGGCAGTCCCTCAGTTACCCACATGTCGGGACTTGAGGGGTCATGCTTGTGATTTTTGTGATTTTTCCCGAGGGGGTTAGGACTTACACTTAGGAATCTTAGCTTAGAGCACTTAGCATATTTGAGCCCTCGAACTAGCACAGACGATGTCTTCGCAAAGCGATTCTCAAGACATCTCGGGGGCGCCCTCGATGGAGGATGAAGTCATCTCGGACGTGGAGTCCACAAGCGAACAGCCCTCGGTGGGACAAGATGTTGTCGTTGCGATGGAGCTGCAGAAAGCCCTCACTGCCGAGGCGGAAGCCGAGGGCTTTGAACAAGAATGTGAAGACGAAGAGCTGGCCCTCGCCTGGCAAGTAGCTGAGGAAGAGGCGCAGAAAGAGGGGGTGAGGGTCACCGTCGCTGTTCTCCCCCCTCGGGGCACTGGTGAGGCCAGCACCTCTCGGCCGCTGAACGCGGTCCCCATCCGGGTGGCCCCCGGAAAAAAGAAGGCGAATGTTGCTGCTTCCAAGAAGAAGGGCAGCGTCGCAGACCAAGGGAAGCCCCTCGATATGCCCGAGGGGTATTCCTATTTGAATACCGCCGTCTTAGAGATAAGGTCGAAAGTTGACGAGGCGGATCTCTACGTCACCCAGCTACATGTGGGCCCCTCGGCCTTTGTGGTGGCCCCGGGTCCCGATGACGTCCTCTCCCGGGCTCCCGAGGGCTGTATTGCAGTTCATGTCCTGTCCGTGTCGATGGGGCTTCGGTTCCCCCTACACCCCTTCCTTCGGGAATACCTCCGGTTCGTGGGTCTGGTCCCCTGCCAACTGACGCCGAACAGCCACTCCTACATCACGGGCTTCCTCCATCTCTGCAAATCCCGGGGGGGGGGGGGGGGGGGAACGCCTAGCCTGGATCTCTTCTTTCAAAGTTTTAACCTGTGCGGGGGGGGGGGGGGGGGGGGGGGGAGCATGCGAATGCCGAGGGCTTCGCGAATTTGCAGCAGGTGGCTTTGTTCAAGTTGTTTACTGAGGCGCCCTCCTCAAACAAGGGGTGGAAGGACCGGTGGTGCTTCATAAAGTTGGCCGAGAGCCCCTTCCCGAGGGAACTGCGTGACCGGTTCAGGCGCCATGAAAAGAGGAGGAGCGCCGCCCTCGAGAAAGATGGCAGGATCCTGGCAAAGATCCTGGAGGGCCGAGACAAGAACATAACCATCAAGGAGTGCACCCAAGAGGAGGACCTCTACACCCTCGGGTTCCGGCGGTATCGCTTCCTGGGGGAAACAGATGAAAAGTTCCCGGCATTTGAGGGAGCCTCCGGAGGGTAGCGGCTGAGGGCACCCTCATTTTCGTATTTTAGCACATAGTTTGTTTGTTGTTGTTTTTTGTACTTCTATGCCATCTGTTAATGACCCCTCGGTTTAACCCCATATTGTGTTGCAGGTATCCCGGTCAATATGATGAATGTCAGAGGGCTTGCTGACCTCAAGAAGAAGAAATCTTCCAAGGTCCCGAAGGGGACGGATGCTGGCGTACCTAAACCTGCCGGTGACTTCTTTAAGAAGCCGGAGGGGCCGGCGGCGGTCCCAAATGCTGATGTTGCCGCTGCTGCGAAGAGAAAAGCTGCGGGCAAGGCTCCCGAGGGGAAAAAGCCAAAAACGGGAGACGTTGGGAAGAAGGGTCCCCCCGTGGTCATTGTTGATGATTGCCCCGCCTCCGGGATGCCTGAGGAGATGACGGTGGCGGAAGTACTGGGGGGTGTCCGGGAGCCATCCTCAGAGGTCCTGATGGTTTCTCTCCCGGTGGGAACGGCCGTGATGAACTGCACGGCGGACCCGAGGTTGCTTCTGAGGGGCATGACCCCTGAGATTGACAGAGTCGCCCTCGGGGCTGATGATGACCAGGCCCTTGAGGACAAGATCCTCCGGTCTTCCCTCACTGTAAGTTTGTACCTAATTGTCGTTTTACTGTGTTCCAGAACATACTGTACATCTTTCCTAACTTCTTTATTTCTTGTAGACCTGCATTGCCCTCGGTGA